GTGTCTGTATGATGTGAAATGCATCACTAGTACCTCGGTGGTGACCTAGATAAATAAACAATATACATCAGCCATCAACAAAGCCTTAGCCTAGTTACAACAGTCAGCCTAAATAATCTAAATGCTTTATCAGAAAAAAATATTTACTATTTCTTAGACGTCTTTTAGACTTCACTAAGTTAAATAGGCGTGTCTCTTGTCTGACTCCATCGGGTTTGTAAGCAAATGACAGTCGTTGGCGGCCATTTTGTAAGATGGCCGCCACAAATGTCAGGCAAAAAATATTTTATGACCCAATATCCAGATCTAGTCACAATGTATCAGTCTATCTATGTAAAATTACTGATTTTAATTATTATCATTTACTTCTCGTGAACTCAAAACATGGACACCCACCATTAACATAACTTGCTACTGTATATAGCTCACACAACAATAGAGGGGAGACTAATAAAAGGTGAAGTAATGTTTCACTCCTGTTATAGAAACTCGTGGAGAATCCTGGCCGCTGGCGAGACGAGACCCTGGAGGCTGCTATTTCCTATGTTGCCACCGACACCAGGCACACACACTACACTTATTATTACTTAGGAAGCACCACAACCTTCTCTGGGATGATATTTGTCTGCATTTATTCTTTTATGTTATATGAATGTAATTGTTATCATTACGAAAATAATCAATATTTATTTGAAGCGAAGAGGAGAGATCAATTCTTGGGTAAATGTTGAAATTTGGCAATACATGTAATATTTGGTAACCTTGTCACGATGAAAACCTGGTATTGTTATTATAAAAACCGTTTTTTGTTATCATGAAGACCTGGTATTGTTATTATGAAAACCTGATATTGTTATCATGATGACCTGGTATTGTTATCATTAAGATCTGGTATTGTTATTATAAAGACCTGGTATTGTTATCCTGAAGACCTGGTATTGTTATCATGAAGACCTGGTCTCATAAGATACTATCACCTACTTTATGAAAATCGAGAACATATATGTTGTAATTAGTTTTGTCTAGGAAAGGTGAGAGATCCGACGTGAGTTTTCTTTAGATAATTAAATTTACTTTAATTAGGGGATGAAATGGCTTATATGCTAGTGGGTCAGATGATGGCCTGGTGCTTGTGTCTCTCTGTGCTGTTACATCACTACCACAAATGTCAAACTGCTCTCGGCTCACCGTGATACTGACAATAACAGAGTCAAAACCGAAAGCATCATTACTCCCTCAGATAATTCGCATTTCCTTAAAAGATCACCAAGTTTGATGGCTGTCCTTCCAACTATGTTAATGGTTAGCTTTTCTATGGTACAGTCGGTGTCAAAAGTTGTCACTCAAACCATCCTAACCTAAGCTAACCCAAGCCGACCTTACTCCAAATAATATAGTTAATTTAGGTTATGTTAGATTGGGGGTAGATTGAGTTAGGTTATGTTAGGTAATTATTACCAATTAGTAAGTATTGACAACTTATATTTTATGAGAATAGGTTATAATAAATGAAAAGTCCCTTTTTTCTTTTGTTATTCTGCGTTTTCCATCTCGATCAACAAAGGACATAATAAAATAAATTCAATGCATTTTAAGATAATATTCAAATAGACTAAAAGGTGTATTATATTCCCATAAAAAAACACAATAACGAAAAAAAAAAAAAATATTGCCACTGAACGATTCGAACCCACACCAACTCTGACGGTCAACGTGGGAACTACAAGCTGTGCCATTTATTCCAGAGTAATTTGGGAAACTGTGTGTTGTACGCTAGCAGGAGATCAGGTTAAATTCGTGGGCCAGTAGCAGGAGGTCAAGTTCAAGTGGTACAGTGTACAGTAGTAACCCGCGCCGACCATCTGAGTGTGTGACTCCTGTAGGGGCCTTAGTAATATTTATACAGTGTGTGTGTATTCTTATGTGTAGCTGAGTGGTTAATTTCTTTCCTCGGTTTATCAATTGATGAGTTATCTTTGATTTTAATAACTTTTGCTTGTTGGTGATGGGTGTCTGAGTCAGAATCACTGCCAGAATTGTGGTAGTTTGGCGCGCTTACCGGAATTGAGATAATTATAGTGCGTGTGATCCTATGAGGTCTGCATAGCACCCTGTTTCTCCGTTTTTGTCACCACGGGATCTTCAATAGTCTTAGTTGTGTTGACTTTATTCTCATTCACCTCTGTATGGAAGGTCGACATCAAATTAAGAGTGTCTTTTGATATACCCATGATGAGGATTTTTTGTACAGTCGTTTAGTATCGAAAAAGAAAACAGGAAAATGAATCAGCTGTTTCCTCCTCCACTTCGATTATAACCTCGGGAGAGAATTCCTGTACATACATAAGAGACAGACAGTTGCTTCTGATATTATGATCATAGTAAACACGGTGTGAAAAGATAGAAAAAACTCCTTTCTCATCCTTACACTTTTTTCAGGGTTTGTCTCTAGTTTCGTATATATACAAAACTGTTGTTCCTGTCAGGCTTGTTAGAGTCATACTGGGTTGTGTTGTTTCATCTGTCCGTCTCACAGTAAGATCTATATTTAACCAGTTCTTTTATTTATCTTCAGTGTTATTGTTCGTTGACTGAAAATTTGTATGAGGCTTTGTTTTGTACGTGGATGAGTGTCTTGTTTAGTGAGGTGTATTTTTCGTTCCCTTGTAGTCTCAGTCGCTTCACGTTGGTGGCGAGTGGGAAGGATATTGCTGCATCTTATACACTTTATTATTATTATTTTTGTGTGCACCTATGTTGACGACTCGACCAAACGAGACTTAAAAGGTCAAAGGTTTATCTGTTAATGAAATATGTTCAAAATATCTCAAGTCTGGAAGCTGTAGAGTTCATATGATATATTCTGCCATGAAATATTTGCTTTGTCCTCGCTCTTCTGTTTGTTGACTACCTACACTGATCCTTCATGTTCTTCTGGAAATTAATTACTAAACTAATATATCTCAGTTTTTAGAAGTTTTCCTCGTCAGTTTTCCATATAACGTGAAGTTCAATTGTTATGAACTTACTCTGTATATAAGACACATCAAAAACATGTATATACGTCAAAGTATGTTTGAAGATTAACTAGAACTTGTTAGAAATGGCTTATATATGTATATATATATATATATATATATATATATATATATATATATATATATATATATATATATATATATATATATATATATATATATATATATATATACTGATAGGGAAGAAGAACACCTAGATCACGCGCACCTACTGTGATTTATATATATATATATATATATATATATATATATATATATATATATATATATATATATATATATATATATATATATATATATATATCCTACACAAATTTCGCTCCCTTCAACCCTGATCTTTAATCTTTTCATGATGCAATTTCATTTCCACAATTTTATTAGATTTTCGTAATAAGGTAAATTGAGTTGGAAAGAGGTTTACCAATGTAATTTGTGGCCCAGGGTACAGTCCCAAGCGGTTGAGACCCCCGTTGCAATAATTATAAATACGGGTATTTAATCATAACGTATTTCCCGACTTGGATGAGTGAGTGAGTGAGTGAGTGAGTGAGTGAGTAAGTGGATGAGACAAAGACACCTGGGGAGACATATTAATAAGTAGATAGGTAGAGGGGAAGTGTAGGTGGGTAGATAAATATATTGAGCGATAAAGAATTGGACTCTAAGATAATTGGGTAGATAAGGTTGATAGATGGAAAGATAGATAACATGAGCGATAAACAAGTAGGAACTGATACCCAGGTAGATATAGCAATGGATAGATAAGTAGATAGTGAGAGGAATTTTTGAAATATAGAAAGGGAGAAAGATACATGGTTAGAGAGATAGAATGATTAGAGATACATATTTTGATAGAAAGTAAGATTTATGTTGACATAGATTTATGATAACAAAATAAAATATATCTTTATGCTGATACAAAGATAAGAAAATAGATATATAATAGATAAACTGATATATAAACAGATAGAAAAGTAACGAACGAATGAAAAGGATAACGAGAGAAAGAGTGAAAAAAGACAAAACAATAAAATTAAGATTAAAGACAGTAAATGGTGAAGAAACACTAAAAAAGGTTCAGGGGACAGTCAGACAGACAAGCAGACATACAGACAGACAGACAGACATATAGATAACCCAGCCAGCACAAAGGGCGAAGCAAACACCACAGCCTGCAGCAGCCGTCAGCGCGTGTGAGTCCTGTAGATTAATTACTACCGATGAAAAATTCTTAGTTTTAGGCAATTAACCCACACGGTGAGGGATGTAACAGATGGTTATATACCCGCCGACACAGCTGGTCATTAGCGTGCCAAGATAGTGTCATGCCACACCACCTGCCGCGACCCATCTACCGAGCTCAGCGTTGTACAGAAGGATTCACGGTAATTATGCTTCTAGCTTGGTCATATCCAAAATGTTTTGTACTTGAACTTTTGTTATTAGTTCTAATTTGGTGTAGAGAAGAGAATGTTTCCGTATGTGTCTGTGTGGTCATATGCCATCTCATGTCCTTCTATAAATGTGCGAGTCTGTCCACAGTTAATATGGTCGGATAATTATCAACCGCAGAAAATATTTGTCTCTCCAAATATCAAGGTCACGTACGACTGTGATGATTAACAAATACAACATTGTATACCTCAAGATTGCTTTATCTCTCAGACAATTAGCACTTACCTGGACATACATGGTAGACTAAATCACATGACCTCTAAAGCAAACATGCCTGTGCTCTTTTCTGGTCGGGATACCAGAGGGACATCTTTAATAAACCAATGAATACACAGAATTACTTTAGCTGTTCATGAAGACTGTGAGATGATAATGCGGCAACTTGTTTCTGTACGTAAACTTACTATCTGTTGCTAATAGGTATTTCTCCTTGAGTAATGATGTACACAGTAATACAAACTTAAATAACAAAGTCTGAATACTGTATTTGGTTACAAAAAAAAAGACTTAGGTAAAATTCTTTATTATCTTTTCCATATAAAGTTACAAGAAATGCGAGAGAGACTCCAGGCATTATCCACCTCCCTGGCGAGCACTTAACACACAGTAGCTCCCCTTCACCTACACACGTACACACTTAAATAATGTCACACTATTTTTTGGTAAGTAATCACTGCCATTTTATCAAAGTACCAGCGATCCTTTATCGAGTATTTATCTATCAAAAGTAAGATAGGTTATTTTTTTTTGGTGGGAGGGGGGAGGGGTACGACTAAATTTAGAAAAGGTGAGATAGAATGAAAGAGACATAGATAGATAGAAAAGAGAAAGTCATATGTTTGTCCAGTCCGCAATTAATACTCTTGTTTTAATGTATTTCCCAAGTATGTAATAGGCGTTCGCTCTTTATTGGTATCACACACACACACACACACACACACACACACACACACACACACAAAAATCGATGTTCATTAAATAGATTCTTCGTATTTTCACCCCAACACATTAAAAATACACAGGGGGACATATTCATGGGTATGATAGTAATTTATTCACCATTTCCAGCATCTGCCCTGACTGCTTATATTTCCTAGAGTTTTATGCGTTAACTGTCAATAAACTCGCCGCTGGACTGTACCTCGCATATGTACAATGTTTGAGGCGACAAAGTGGACAACATATTTCCATCATTGTAGCGCCAATAAACATAATTACACTGTGTACTGCGAATTCACAATTTTGCACAAAAGCTGTATCGTTAGAATTGCCTACACTTAATATAATCGATCCTCAATGCTGTGTTGCCTTGATAGTAATTTAAACTTATTTTCTCCATGGATGTTACACTTCCTGATCACAGCCTAACTCAGTGAACACTAAACTATCATGTTTTTTCTTGTGTTGGAAACTGTGATATAAATCTATTTTAATTACATAGGATTATCATTTACATAAATAGATTGATTAATGCAGTTATGGCTCCACAAGCGCGTTTATACTCTATAATGAAAGTGAGTGGAGGACTTGTAATTATCGTAATGACCATACGGGGAAAGTTTCGTTAATTTCGTAGTTGCATTTATTGCCGGGATAATCTCTTAACGACAAGAAGAACAAAACACTACTTGTTTCTCAGGGAAGAAGGTTTAGTCTCTTGGTCATTACTGGAGTTTAAAGTGGCACGATTCTATTTTAGGAACGTGTGTGTGTGTGTGTGTGTGTGTGTGTGTGTGTGTGTAGGAGATGTTGGTGGGTTGTCTACTTATGGGGCCAAAAACACTAATGAACAATGTACAAAAGTTCACATCAGTTGAGTTGATATACGATAATTATTACCTCACTCACCTCGGGTAAAATGCCTTGATTCAGGAGTTACTTTCAAGGTTCACATGACACCTGTGATTTTGGTGCCAATGAACACACTTTTGACGTCTTACTATTCACACATACACACTCATCAGTTCTGAAAATAACATCATGTCACTCTTAACTCCGGAAATAAACCCTTTGAAAACAGACTTTGAGTGTTGAGAACACTAAAAAATAAACACATTTGCTGTTAATTCTAACAAGGACAGGTGTATTTTGCACAGCTTGTATCTTCTTCAGGTAACTAGAGAGATTTTGAACTGCCTCTTAAATTCTATGTACTTTTGTGTGTGTGTGTGTAAAGTTTTGTACGTGTTGATATCACGATCAAAATCCCAGTTTATATCTAGATAACAGGAAACCTTCAGGTAATATTATTATGTATGATAAGCAAAAATCCCTTTGCATGAGGAGAAATATATTTGTTGGTGCTGATTCTGTGTGTGTGTATCTCGGCGTTTACAACACACTAAAAAAAACACGAAAAAATATTATATGCGAAAAGTTGACGATAAGAGTTAACTGTGACCACGGGAAAATTTTTATCTTTAGGTGGAGTGAAATTTAATTCTGAGATTCATTTAAAACGCATTATATTGTCTCCAAACAACACCAAATTCATTTTCATTTTGGAGATTTTCTTCTAAATCAAATCTTTAAATATATCACTAAGTAACGACAAAACTCCATAGCATTTAGAAATATTATTTTTACCAAAGCAAATCAAAATATTTACCCCTCCTAACACTAAACAAATCCATACTATTTTTAGTTAATTTCCTTTATTAAAACTCAGAATATTCCACCCGTTATTAAAACACCAATAAAACAACTGTATTTTTCGCGTCACCAACCCAGCAGGTAAGAAATGGGACTGAAAGATCCACAGGTACACTGATCAAGACCCCCTCCCCCCCACACATGAGCTGTGTCCTGACGTTGAGGAGTGTAGCCCACGCCCGCCTGCACACTTAACCACTGCCAGTTCAACTCTCGAGTCAGTTTACATCTTTCGTTTTCTTTTTCACGTTACCTGTCGATGTTACCTGGCAACGTTACCTGTCCATGTTACCTGTTTATGATACCCGTCCATATTACCTATCCACGTTACCTGGTCACGTTCTGTCTATGTTACCTGGCCATGTTATCTGATCAAGTCGATGTTATCTGGCAACGTTACCTGTTCACGTCACCTAGTTGTGCCTCTCTAGGGTAGTCAAAGTATACACAAGAATACTGAAATGGTCATCCAAAAGTTAAGATTACCACAGCGTTTTATGTTTATCTTCAAGTTAACCGTTAGTGCATACTTTAAGATTCGGTTTTCCGACTCACTTGAAATAAACATCGAGAGTTATTCAATTGAGTTCAATAAACTGTCCACAATTCAATCAAACTAACTAAAAATGCCTAACAAATTTGCTCAACAGAAGTTTTATATGTCTCGTTAAATAAAAAGAGATACTAAGGTCACATAGAATTTGTCCTAAACTCACGGTAATTAAGAATAACCCAATACTTAGAACACCATCTACTGTACTAACCTGTGGAGCGATCGGCTACACACCGTTGAAGCAGCAGAGGCAGTACGGCTCACACCCTCAACTGCCCTCGACGTTACTTTAGCCCGCCACCCCCACGCCTGTATCTAGTGGTAACCCACCTAACGCTAGTTTTATAATGTTGCAGAGTCAATAGGTGGTGTGTGTGTGTGTGAATTTATGACATGAACTCGTCTCCCAGTTTTCAACGAAATGTCATGTTACTCTTCACAAATGGTGTGTAGTGAATAGGTGACGTGCATGTGCCAAGACAGTTTCGGTTATGGGTCTCTGTTGTCTGTCCGTAATCGCACTTCGTTATAGAAAATGGGCGTCTCTCGTGTCCTCCCGCAAGAGTAAGAATGTCGGAAAACTACCACGAACCACGAACAAAACTCTCTTAAACTATCCTTCATAGTTTTTCATCATGAGAAAGTTAACAATGGCACTGACCAACCAAACTTAAACTTAATGATTCTATATTAGTTTAAGTTAGGTTAAATTTGGTAGTTGTTCTATCGCCTTAAGAAATAAATAACAAAAGTGGTTTTATTGTTAGTATATTTATGTAAAGTTGGTAAATAACGAAAGAAAAAATCAAAGAAAGAAGGAAGAAAGGAAGGAAGGAAGGAAGGAAGGAAGGAAGGCAGAGAGATGGAAGCATAATGAGATCAGATAACTCCTCACTGTATGTACATGAATCTGAAATTATGAACACCTGAACCCATACACATATTGGGGGAAAAAAACCCAACACACACCAAGTTGAAAATGTGTGGAAGTTTGACTCTTGTGTTTTGCCATTTTTCTCTCCAGAGTTTTCGCCCAGTCAATCACACCTACACACAAACTCGACTTCTCCACTACAAAATTATGTGTTTGCGAGAAGAAAATGAAGATAAAGAAGAAAAAAATAATGACTGAGTTGACTATTTTATGAGGGTGTCTAAGTTCTATACAATGAAGAGGTTATCTTAATCTTGTGATCAAATCATCATACTCAAGTCGTCATGCTCAGTGGGTTAAAGTCATCGTATTCCAGAGGGTTAATGTAGTTTTTGGCCTTTTACAAGATGGTCATAACGTTATTATTACATCTTTAAGGACATTCGAAGGGAATATTTCGGGAGTTTGACTTTTTGTGAACATGTAAAGTCTAGTGTGTGTGTTTACATTAGTGATTAGATGACAGACATATGAACGGAGATATAGAGCCATTTGTAGGTAAGTGTATAAAAGTATAATGTTACACACACACACACACACACACACACACACACACACACACACACACACACACACACACGACCTACAAAACAACTGATAACTGTGAAGCAATAATTGTTTGGTGTAAATATCCACATTATCACATTTGCCTCTGGATTAGTTTCTGAACACCACACTCAACAGATAAAGTTGTCTTACGGTGAGAACAACAAGTATATGGTACAGTCGTTTAGGTAATTATCTCATAGAGGCCTGTAATAGATAAGAAATGTATATCAGGTTTACTGTATGTTGAGAATAAAGCGTAAGTCATTATATGCACTTACGATGTACTCTATTTTTTTTAAGTGTTACGTTGGTCCTTATTTCTTCTGGAGTGCTTTAAAGATGTCACGAAGCCCAAAGGGATATTATTTATTATTTTATTATTGTAGTACATCGTAAATGACTTCAATGACATAAGGTCGTCCTCTAAGTATGACCTGCAGTATATAAACATGACACGACACATGGACAGATTATTATGGTGTATCGCAGGTTGACTTGGCAATGTTTGTTTTCTTTCCTCAAGCAACAGCAGCTCACAACACCACATAATTGTTATCTTTCACTACACGTTCTGGCGAGATGTTCTTTAGTGGAAGTTGTCTCATCAACCTCTGGGTCTCTAAAGTTCTCGGCCTCAGCGACAAGTTTGGACACTTTTCCGACTTTGTTATTATATTCCTGATATTAGCTCGAATGTCGGCAAAATATATTTGACAGGAACAAAAACAGACTGTGCTTGGTATTTTTTTAACATATGGTCTCAATAATTTGCCGACGTTATTTAAATGTAAGTGAAGATTATTCACAGTCTGGTTACTTAACATCACTAAACCACCGAGACAAACCACGACCGTCCAAGTAAGAATAGATTAAATTTGCAACACTTTTAATTAGTATTTCTCTCTCATAGAAAAAGCACCGCAGCTTTGGAATTCAACATAGTTCTTATTTTTATCTGCGGCTGTTGTCTGTGTTGTGACCCCCGACACTGTTGTCCTCGTAGGTCTCGTGAGTAATTGTCCTCGGGATATTTCGCACAAAGTCGTGTGGAAAACGTGGACGACCTGCAGAGGCGAGGGTAGTCGTCTCTGCGAGAGTCCCCGACGACTCCACAACGACTGGGGCAGTGAACTGAGGGCCTTCAGCGGCGGTTCTTTCGTCTTTAGGGAACTTTCCAGGGTTTTGGCTGTTGGTGAGTCGCTGGCTGGAGAAGCTGGTGCGTCGGCTGGGGGGATCACTACGTTGGCTGGGGCTGTTGGCACGTTGGTTGGTGGGGCTATTAGTGCGTTGGTTAGGGCTGGTGATGCGTTGGTTGGTGGGGCTGGTAATGCGTTGGTTGGTGGGGCTATTGGTGCGTTGGTTCGGGCTGATGATGCGTTGGTTGGGGCTGCTAATGCGGTGGTGTGGGCTGCTTGTCCTTGGTTTAGGGCTGCTGGATCGTTCATTGGAGCTGTTGATGAGATGGTTGGGGCTGCTCGTGCGTTGGTTGTGGGAACTACTGCTCGTGTGTGCTTTAATGCCGTAGTTAGGCTCGCTAGGTGGCAGGTGGTTGCCACTAACGCGTTGGTGTCGGTCGCTGGAGCTCTGGGTGAAGCCGCTAGTATTACCATGTCTTGGGCAAAACGAGTCTGGGTGTGAACCACTGGTGTGGGTATGTCTGTGGCTGTGGGTGTGTGAGTGTCCGTGAATGTCCCCTTGGCCATTCTGATGTCCAAGCTGCGTTTCATTACCCGTTAACAGCCCGGCGTCAGCCTGTTGTAGGGCAGGGTGACCGTGGGAGGTCAGCAGGGTGGGAGGATCAAAGCTCTGCATGGTTCCGCGACGCTGTGAGCCTTTTTGGTCGTCTCCTGTGGCCTGATCGACATTATCAGTCCCCAGACGGTCACTTCCTTCCTCCTGAAGTAGGTGTTGATGCCCCTCCGTCTGTAAACCAGAGGAGGGCCGCTGCTGACTCTGGGAGTGGGAGTGGATGTGAGAGTGGGAGTGAGACGATCGTGGGCGTTGTAGACTAGCGAACTTTGAAGGCATGGGTTTGCGTCTGCGTGGGCCCAGCGTGGCGTAGCCGGCAGGTGATCCTGAGGAGGAATTTACGACATAATTATTCTTCATGCTCACACAGGCAACACTTACCTTATTAAACTGCTGCTGACGTCAGTAAAAACATGTAGAGTTCATCTGAACACACAACATGTTACTCTTTTTACTTCTACATGTTACCTAATTCTTTAATCAATTCGGTTATAAATAATGTTTCTCAATCAATACACATTTGACATTCATAATCCCGACGAACATTTAGAGTAAATGTACAACTGATTAACGAAGTAGTCTGTTATGAGTGATGGCAGACCGTGGCATCAGCAGTGTTGAGGCAGTCATCTATATATAGATAATTAAACTCAGGTGATACTTGTGACCACACGTAACTAAAATTGGCTTGTTTGGTCACTTGGCTAAGCGCCGCTGATTCTGCAGTAAACTTACGTAAAATCTGTAATATCTTCACAATGCGATTATGTTCACCTTAACGATGCCTTTGGCTATAGCTTCACTACTTAGAGCTACGAGAAGTTTTGTCGCCCCTAACTGAAAAAAAGATCATTAACAGTGGGAATTTTGTTACTGATTCTTGAGTCATCATTGAATATTAAATAAGACATATTAAATTTTCAGTCCTCTTTGAATTCATACAACTGCGGCGTAAATAACACTTGGGGGACAATGTGCTCCTAATGATAGAGCTTTTATATACATAATATTTCTCACAAGTAACGTGTAAGGGCGTGAGAGGTAAAAATTCTTCATCAAAGGACTATTGTCTTATCGTTCGTTGGCTCTTTAGAAATCACTGTTTTTCAAGGAAGTTTCATACACAGATTAATAAAAGTAAAGGGAGTGTTGGTTATTTTCGTCAGTACAGTGCAAGGTTTCGGCGTGTCTATGTTAAGAGGTGAGAGAAGAAAGTTCCAATTTTCTCAAGGAATTCATATTACTCTTTTAAATTTCACTCCTTTACACGACAACTACTGGTTATGTGTCAGAAGCCCCACCGCCAGATCACGTGTTTATCCTCACCAACGAAAGAGGCGCCATTTTGTAGCCTTACACTGTTTACATAGCTCTCATATTTACTGCCATATTACCTGAAGAGTAACTATGAAGCAGACCACATTAACGAGACACACTTCACCTGTAACAAAAACATGATGGATAATTAACAATGAACGTAAACGCGGAAGAACAGTAAAGTCTACATTAAAACTAAGATTAATATTTAATTCTCGGTACAATAACATAGAAGAGAAAACAGCTGGATTAATTTTGAAACCAAAAATCTTCATGTTATCATAATGAACGGACGTATCTCTTCACACTGTTATGTTAATAAATATTCAAACTGAAATACTCTATCTCTCTACACGGCAAAAGTAATCTAACATCATAAAAAAGGTAATTAACTTAGGTGCCTTGAGTGTCCCGTACACAGGTTACATTGGGAGGAGGGAATGGGGGGGAGGGGCAGAGGAGGAGGGGGGAGGGGCAGAGGAGGAGGGGGGAGTGAAAGAAGCTCATTCTCTCAGCTGATTGGCCTGCTCTCCTTACTTGATTATATTAACCCTAAATTGAGGGTAAAGTTTTAATACCAGTTCTTATGGCACGGAAGATGATGGAAGGTGGAGGCAAAATACCGAACACGAAAACATTACTTTAGCGTGTGGACTGAATATAAGGCGGTATACGTTTAGGTAAAATCTGGGAAGAGAATGATGATTGTTACACTGTAATCATATGGTATAAATAAGTCTGGATGACTGGTGAGGCCTCCTTCAAAAATTTATCTTGTAATCTGTGGTTTTTATTGTTTAACCACACTGCATATTATGAACTAAAGGAAAATCTCAATTGGATTCATTCCTGTGTTGCAATTGTACAATATAATAATTAGTGATAAATTACTCTGATAAAAACAAAAATCTTCCTGTACACGCTATACATTCTCCCTACAGGGTGAGCAAAACAAACAACACAGCCATTCTAACATACAGATTATTCTTCATAGTTTATTATGTCTTGTTGTCTCTTTCATATACACATACTTCTTCTACCTGACCTGGCAACCAAGTCTCCCTCTCCTCTCTACATTAAGACAAAACGTCCACTGAAATCCCTCCACCACTGTGCTCGTCGAGGAAGGGACGAGCCGCTTAAAGTGATTTCCACAATCCTTTGATCCTTCACCTGTTACACTTCATACCAATTCCTTAACATTTCAACACACACATACGTCTTGCCGTGAAGGAAGGAACTCTCCTCTTCAGACTGCCATGCCATGATAGCCCAAGACAGCTCCGTCGGACTCCAGTGTGTATGCCTTAAGCCAATCACTCAAAACTTCGCCAGTTCCATCACAGCCTCTCTACTCCCTCAATAAAATCTTTTCACTGGCTGCAATATCTTACCCCCCAACTCCATACATATTCAGCACCTTCCACCGCCCTGCCTTGCCCTGCTCGCCCTGGCCCAAAGCTTTTACCACCACTGTTTCTATTTTATATTTTTGTCTCTTCTCACTGTGTTTCAATATCGAGACCCTCATAATGATGCCAATACTTATTTACGTCAAGATGTCACACATTCTCACGTTGTCCTCCATCGTTTCATAAAAGTCTTCAGTGAGTATTTTTGTTTTATTTTAAGGTATTTCTTCCCCCTGACTATATAAAGGTCTTGCTGAATCTGGTATCCCCTTTTTGTCACGGAACATTCTTTGAAGTTTCACTCATATTGCCTGTAAACGATTACATGCAGCTTGTGGGTCTTCAACCTCTCGTGTCTATCCCCTTCATGTGATCGACCCTATACAAGGCCTCACTATCTATCTCCTGATCTTTCACTCATCTTCCAGTTCTCATTTAAATAAGATCCATAACAATCTTAGCTAAAAATAAAGAAATAAATAAAACTACGACAAATCCATTCATCTTTGCGTTGAGCGAGACAAACTGAATCAAGGTATTTTACGTTGTTTGAATGTTTCACAACTATTCCATTTGCGTACTAACTTGGATCGTGAGTGAGAATTCCAACTCCATTCACTCTTTTTATTTCTACAGCTATTTTTTTTCCTCCTACAGGCACGGATTTCTTCGTTTTGTTTTGGTTTTACTAATCTGGTGCTCTGATGTCATGCTAATTCTTAACAAATCTAGTTTATCTTAATCTTTTATTTATTCGTTTTATCTCACACACTTTGTTTCTGTGTAGCCTCCTCCTTCTTCATGCTCTTAAAACCCTCTCTTGTATCGTTTGCGTCACCTTCAGGAGGAGGTAAGCCTTTGTATACCTCCAACGAGCACACGTCCTCTGGCCCACAAGCCTGAACGCCGATCACAACACCAGATATTTTATTTTATTAATATAACTACAACAAGTGATTTAGGGGGTACAGTAATTACACTGTAATAAGAGTGTCATCAAAATGATGTCTTGTAGAATTTAAGAATATGTATATATCAAAGACTATTAAATCTTTTCACATGTACTCAAAAAATTATCTATACAAAATTGTGTTGAAAAAATATGACACAATGGACAAAGGATTTTGACAACCCTACCGAGACAACAGGAATCGCAGTGTTCATTCTAAATTTCATCGATAGTTATTTGAGTGACTATTTCCGATACTATTCTTATATGTTTTTTATTCAATAATATTTTTCTATTTCTTAATACTATTTTAGATTATTCACAGCTTATTCACTTGTTTATTACTTTATTTACATCTTTCCAGCTTGGTGATTCACTTCCCTATCTGTATGCAGCTCGTGGTCTTTCCTCACCTCTCACTTAACACTTTTTCACCAAACATTCTCTTGAAACTATAGTCAGTTATGATACTTGTTACTATACACTTCACCATGATATAAATGACATTGTCTTCACGAGTCCGCCATCATCCATACCTGTTTATAATAATTTATTTTTCTCACACATGTTTGATCTGAATCTTTAATATAAGCTTCGAGCTCTCGATCTCCCTCCAGTGTTCTGCTATATTATAACTAATTTCGCCCTTACACATCTCTACCAGCCCAGAGAACAACCTTACCTATACAACACTGTCAGCAATATGTCTTCATATATGCAGAATGAACCTCAATACTAATCCTCAATGTTATTATTCCTTAACCACAACCGTCTGTTGGTAATAAGTCTTAGCTCTGGTTTCAATGCCTAGGATGTGCTTCAACACTCAATTTTACTTTCATAAAGTCAAATGTTTGCATTGTCACGTATATCCATGATTTTTTTTTTTGACACTTACTATTGTTGCGTATTTTGTGAATCTTCCAACTCCCCACATATCCTTCTCTCCCTCTCTATTTCTCTCGCTCTTTCTTTTGCTCAGTCGCTCTATCTCTTCCTCTCGTTTTTACATCAAGAAAAACACATATACACCTTGCATACACATGATCACCTACATACGTGTCTAAAAAGTATATTTCATATATAACAAACGTACAAAATCCCATAGGATGTCATACCTGTTCCGAAAGAAGTAGGACTCGCTCTGGTTTCATGGTACTCAGAGCCAAGGTTGTAAAGTCCTGAAGGATTCAAACCAGAATAAGGTACTGGTGCCTGTATCAGTTCCTGCTGCTCGCTCTGCTGTGGTTGATGGTAGGTGCGGGCGTCATGAGGTGTCTGGTAGTGAGGTGTGGTGCGCGCCTGCTGGTGGTGGTGATGGTGGTGGTGATGAGGACAGCCCTGGTGATAGATGGGATGTACCAGGCCGTTAGAGTACTCGTAGCTGCGCGAATAATCACTGTGGTAGGAGGAGAGGGACGTCTGGTCGGCGGAGGAGTAAGGAGCTAAACTTTGTTCCTGTTGGGGTTGTTGAGGGTCGTTTGGCAGAGAGTCGTAGGTGCTGGAGCAAAGAGACGTCACCTCCTCGCTGGTCTGCTGACGAATTTCCTTGATATCTTTGGCCTCCCCATCTCCCTGCATCAAGGGGCTGGCTCTGGGGGAGGAGGAGCTCACCTCTCCACCACCACCGCTGGCGGGTGTAGGTGAGTTCTGGTTGGTGGCGAGTCTCTCGATAGTCTTTGGGCTCATAGTCCTGCTGTACAGGCTGCTGACATCCCGACCCACCATGCCATTCTGACGCGGGGTGCTGTGGGCGTGCGGGTGTTTGGGTGTGCGGGAGGTGGTGTGGGTAGTGGCGTTAGGGATCACCAGGCTGGGAGGGTCACAGTCGTCCACGTTGGTCTGGTGATCCTCCTGAAGGATGTAAACACGGGAGGGTAAGTCATACTAGGAGGAGAGAGAATATCCAGTACGGATAATAATAATGAAACAACTACTACTACTACTGCCACTACTACTGATGTTATTACCTTTTTTATAATTCACCGAGGAGCCAAAGGCATACAGGCAATATGATGAACACATTGTTGGGTAAAGATGGAGACTTTATGCCATGTTTAAGGTGATGCTTGACGACTCGTATTATTATTATTATTATTATTATTATTATTATTATTATTATTATTATTATTATTATTATTATTATTATCAACTGCAGAATGATACGAATAATAATAATGATAGTAACTAAATAATGGAAAATATCAGGAAAATATTTATAAAAATCAATGATATTAGCAATAACAACTTCGTGATTATTGATTAAATTTAAATACAATTAAAAAAAAGTCAAGCATAAGAAAACTTAAAAATACGAAAAATAAAAGTTTAAATATTTCACCTTGTTTCAAACTTTACTTTCAAGTCCTGTTGCCTTTGATCCAGTGAAAACAGGTAAAAAGAACAACACACCACATTCTTAAGTTAAAAGCCAGAGTGTAATGTTATTAGATACATTTTAAGAAGCAGGATAAAATGTCATATATCAATTTCAGAAAGAGATGAAGGTTCACATAATCTCTTCACTCATCATAAGATTAAAACTCTACAGTGAATCTCTTATGAACAGTTATATCTAGAGATTGTACCTTTATTTATGGATCACTTATAATCCTGTTTAGTAGTGAGGAAACGGACAAGAAACGAGATCTCTTTTTTTGTCGGGGGCTCTATTAGGGTTTCAAGTGACTGCGCGGGACTACAAAGCCTTGCGCAGTAGACACGCAACGGGAGTCGGCGCATATCTCCTTAACACACACACACAAAAATATGAGGTCCTTGGGATATCATCATTGTGAGTATTGACTGTTGCTTATGAGTGAGGAATGAGAGCGAGTGTTCAGCTGGAAGTCGCCTGTCAAGTGTTGCCTCAGTTGTTTGACAGTGAAATTAGGAAGGATATCGAGTGGTAGGTGAGAGTTTGTTACCGTCAGCACACCCGCCAGTGAGGAGGAGGAGATCTTGCTCGAGGATGAGGTTTGAGTGACAGCGAGTAGTGATCAGTGAGGTGTGTGTGTGTGTGTGTGTGTGTGTGTGTGTGTGTGTGTGTGTGTGTGTGTGTGTGTGTGTCATGAATAAATATACAAGTGTGTGTTCCTCAATATGACTGTATTTGTTGTTCATATAGTAACTGTCAACACTATGGAAGAGTAAACAAAACACACACACACACACACACACACACATATCATTACACACACACACACACACACACACACATGTCACACAATCCTACTTCCAGCTCCTGTCGAAGTGCTGAAGAAGGTCTGAGAGGAAGGAGGGCATCCGTACCTGTTGCCTGAGTGTGTGTGTGTGTGTGTGTTTTTTGTGTATTTTTTTGTATGATGGGAGGTATTGAAGACTCAGTGGTGGAGAAGTTGATAAATGTTTTATTTTTCAGAAGTGCTGGGAATATATTTTGAAAGAGAGACTGAGGAGAGAAGTCTGCCTGTGCTCTGGGAGTGGAATTTCATGTATACTGGAGAGGAACGGTACCTAACCCAGGAGATAAACTTGGAGAATCTCACTATTATTTTTGTTTTGTTTTTTACTTAGACTAATGTTGGAGGTGTTTGAGTTGGCCTTCCTAGAGGGCGCCCGGTAGCCATGACTGTGTGATTAATTGTAACGTGTAATATTAGTTTTTATTTTATTTTTCTACTTGGTTCGGTTTGTGTCTTGTCATCTTGAGACGTTGATGGAATCCCAGATTATTATTATTATTAGTAGTATTTAAAAATATAACAACGCGATCCCGACTACCGAACAGCTCTCTACCTGAATATAACGAAGAGTTCATCCCCGTGAGTGTTAATGATACGAGAGACAGGGAGAAACTACCGTAGTACACAAGTTTTTAACTAACAAGGGAACCAATTAAGAACGAATCAATTATCGATGATTTTTTTCCTCAAGATATGTCGGTCACCATATATGAAGTTACTAAGACATGTGAAACTTCCTGAGAAAAAAAAAGTTGGGGTAGACGAGGTGTAGAACTTGTGAGTAATTAATCATTTACTTGATAATAAGTTGGAAAGGTGATGGTGAACAGCGAATTATCTGGCGGAGTGAAGGAGTGACGAGAGAGACGTAGTTACCTGGTAGGGTAGAGGAGGAGTGACGAGTTAGACGTAGTTACCTCGTAGGGTGGAGGAGTGGTAGAAGGCAGATGAGGAGACATGGTAGTGAGAGATAGAAGGGCCTCGTTATGGACAACACCAGGAGTAGAGGCGGGCGTCACACCATAAACGTCCACTGCTACGTTCTTAGTGGAGGATGACGCTGTTGGGGGCAGAAGACAAGCATAAAGTGATGTTAGTAGATTATGTTATACCTGTCATATGATACAGGTAAATACAGGTAAAACAGACACTAATTATGAGTTTACTTGGCGTAAGACCTTGAATTTTTAGTTCATTTATCTTTAAGAAAATCATTTAATTTTGGATAAATTTTATAAAGATTACTAACCTAAAATAACCTAATCTAAAGTAACTTACGCTAATCTAACTTAGTTTAGCTTGACCTAATCTAACCGAACTTAATTAAAGCTAACGTAAATTAATCCAATTTGACCTAACCTTCCTTGAGCTAACCTAATCTATCCTAACGTAAATACAATCAACTGGCCAATATAACAGCAATCACCAGTTGTATGACCAATCAAAAGATGCTATTTACTCATCACTCGGTACATAACTCATCAATTGATACAAAAACTACCCATTTATCCAACAATAGTCCCAGCTATCCAACAACAACAACAACACTACCCCATCCATCCAACAACAACAATCCATACACCCAACAGCCATCCAACCATCCATCCATCATTTTAACAACAACATCAACAACCCAACCCATCTATCCAACAACAATTCCACTAAACAACAACAATTCACAGGGGCCAATAGCTATCTCTCTATTCATCCATCCAAAAGCACCAACATACCATCTACCCAGCGGACCGTGATCCAGGCCACTCACCGGAGGCGTTGCGATTGATGGCTCGTCGTCGAATGAAGCAACCGATGATGGCAACGTTGAGGGCGAGGAGAGCGGCGCCCGTGAGTGTGATGATGAGCAGCATGAGGCGCGGCATCCTAGATGACCCCTCCTCCACCATGCTCCTCGACCCCCCTGCCATCCCCGGCCACGTACTGGGGTGCCCTGACACTCCTGGTGGGGAGGTAGGGAGGAGATGAAAGAGACGGGGTGTTGTTGGGTAGTGTTTACATGGGTAAGGGGGTGATGCATGTTACAAGGAGAAAGTTCGTGTGGAATGAATACACAAGAGTAAATCGGGGAAACAGACAAGATGAGACTAACTGGGCGATGGCAAGGCTATCTGAGGGGAGGGAAGGCGAACGGGTTCATAGAAGTGTCGAGTTGTTATGATCAGCTGAAAGGAAAACCATAATAACATATGAACGAGGAGGTAAAAGACTTACCGTGTGTGGTGGCTGTGACGTGGGGGGTGACGTAGGAGGAGGGGCCCTGGGGGTTCCTGGCGTGTACAGTGAAGAGATACTCGGTGCCTGGGGACAACTCCTTCACCGTGATGCCCCGCGCCTCACCCCCTGACACCTCCGACACCTGTATATGGATAACACATGACACCTCCCCCATCTGTATATGGATGACACATGACACCTCCCCCACCTATATATGGATGACACATGACACCTCCCCCACCTATATATGGATGACACATGACACCTCCCCCACTGTATATGGATGACACATGACACCTCCCCACCTGTGGTTGGATGACACATGACACAACACTCTCAATTATCTCCCCATCACTATCAAAGCCATCCAATGCTCTGAAACAAACTTACGCGGTTCAACTGCAAACCAATTTCTTAGTGCTATATGAAATTTCAACACAGCAAGATTTCTCACAGTGGTATGAGCTCTGGACACACTAAACCAATTTTGGAAGGAATTATCAAGACACAAGATATAAATTTCAGATATTTTGAGCAACAACAGATCAATCTTCACCAACACAGTGCCCCAGTCACTCCCTCCTGGACCTTTGACCTTAAGAAAAAAGACCCAGTTAATTTTTAAAGTGTTTAGGAATAAATTTATAAGAATGTATATTAATGACGAGGAGAAGAGTCATAAGAAAATTCTAATATATTTTTTTCTTTATTGCATTACGATGTGAAGATAGATTTTAATACAAAAAATACTCTTGTTAGTTCAGGTAGGATGGGTGTCTGGTAGAGTGAGCTGTGTGTGTGTGTATTGATGAGCGCCATTATAAACAAGCAGAATAATTTTAGCAATACCAAGGCGTAATAGGAAAGGAGGGGGGAGGGGGGAGGGGGCATGCTAGTTGTGTCTCTGGTCGGAAGGTGATAGTAAAGGTGAAGGAATCATACGACATGGCGAAGCTCAGCACTAAGCACCATGATGACGAATACTGAGCACCATGATGAACACTAAACAACATGATGATACATACTGAATATCGTATGAGGGAACACCGTCCACCATATGATTGAACACAGAGTACATTATTGGAAAACACTGAACACCACTGGAAAACACTGGAGAACACTGAACACTTCCCTCGTTATGAAGAAACAGTTACATAAACACTATCAAGAAAAACACGCCAAGCTAACACGCACATACTCGATATTTGACAATCAATCATCCACATATTGTAGGAAAAATATCCAGTCCTTTGATTGCCCCCCCCCAAACACGAAGTTACAATCAAATCTGTACGTTCTAAGTGTATACGTTCATACACCACACAACAAGCTAGCGTTTGTGAATACACCTGCCAGCTAATGAACTTGTTTACACCTGGGCATGGGATTACAGTTAAGCTCAGAATTATTGATGACACGATATTATATTATAGTTCAGCTTGGGTCATCGGTCTCTCTCTGTCTGTCTCTCTCTCTCTCTCTCTCTCTCTTTTTTTCTCTTTATATTTCTCTTTATAATTATAGTTTTTCTCGCTTTCCTTTCGGCTATTTCTCTTTTCCTCCCTCCCTTCCCCTCTTTATCTCTAGTTGCGTCCTCTTCTCTTTTAGCTTACTCCATTCCTTATTACCCATTACTTTCGTATTCTCTATTTCTCACTATCTTTCTTTATGTCTCATTTCGACCTTTTAGTCTATTTACCAGTCCTTATTATCCATTTCCTTCTTCTATTCCTCTCCTTTTCCGTTTTCCTTCCTACCCTAATACATCCACTTGTTTTTTCCTTCTTCCAACCCTTTATCCTGTTGTCTCTCTCACCCTGACTCTATTCTCTTCCTCTCCTTCTTCTCTCTTTTGCATCCTCCCCCATTGCCTCTCTCTCTCTCTTCGTTCCTGCCTTGTTCTTTTCCTTCTTCCTTTCTCTCCATTCTTTCCTTCTACCTATCCCCCCTCCCTGTATTGTCCTCCTACGTCTGTTTTCCTTTTATCTCCCCTTCCTCCTCCTCACCCCCTCCCTTTCCTCTCATTTTTCCTCCCATTCTGCTTGTTTCCTCTCTCTCTTGTTACTCTCTCTTCACCTTCACATTCTCTCTATCTCTCCTCCTATGTCTCTTCCTCTCTCCTAGACCTCTCCCTCTCTTCCATGATTCTCTCTATCTTCTCCTCCCCCCTCTCTCTCTCCCATAACTTTTCCTCTTTACTATATCTCTCTCTTTCTCTTCTGCATCTCCCCCTTTCCTAATCCTCTCACTCCCTTCCTTTCTCTCCCTCCCTCCCTCTCCCTCTTTCATACCATCTCCCCACCAACACCTACTTAGAATTTGATGGCATCGATGCGTGGTATTAGGAGCATATTCCTTTGATATATCTCCACCAACTATGCCTTATACCCCTTCAGACATACCCTTTCCAGACATACTTCTGCCTTTTTACCCACTAGACATACCCCTGCCTTATACTTCTCTCCCAGACCATTATGATATACCAATACGTACCTGGTATTCGAGGGAGCCGGCGGCGCGGTACTTGACGACGTACCCACGCGGCATACCACCCTCGTAGTTGGGCATCCAGGCCAAGCGAGGTCGAGGGTGATAAGTACATCAAATAAGGAGGGGGGTATAATGTTGTTAGTGTCACGCGTTACATCCATGTTCATACCACAATAAAAATAATAATAATAATGATAATAATAATAAAACCACACTCACTAACTTTTTTCTCAGTAGTATGCCAAATATTTCGAAAACAATTACCGCCAAATTCCAGAGAAAACTCGATTTTAATTAAGAGCAGAGAGGCAAGTCTCTAAGAGCCTGAAATAGACTCACTCTATAGTTCATCTCACCAGGTATTCCAGACTGGTGAGAAACATACCATTATGTTACGGAATTATCGATTATGGATATGCTATGGAGGTAATTAGTATGATGTCTGTCTTGAAAAGGTTATAAGAAACTTACATTGCAAATATTAGTGTCAGTTGTGTTTTAACTTCTCCTAGGGAAGGATTTCGGTGATTGGTGTCAAAGATGTTGACTTAACCAAGCTTAACCAAACAAAACAAAACAAAACCTAACCTAACCTAACCTAACCTAACCTAACCTCACAATAGTTATACTACACCTAACAACGTTTCAACACAATATGAAAGTTAACATATAACAAACTCACAGATCTGTTATATATCAACTTATATCATGTACATATATTTTATCCTAGCTACTGGAACTAAATTAGACCAGATTCAGAATCTCAATGAAAACTTTGTCAAAACTTTGTCAAACAAAGTAAAAAAAAAATTGCCATATATACTAATACAAAATTAATTCTAGCTTTATCTGGACCTGTAGAGGGGATTACCAGAGGGGGGGGGGGGGGGGGGGGGGGGGAGTTTAGGGGCTACTTACGGTAAGACTGAGGGGCGGGTGTGGGCGTGTGGGCGGGTTGAGGGTACGGTCGACGGTCACACTGCCCAGGTGGTTGTTGGCTGTACAATGGTAAACACCGTAGTCCTGTCTCGTTACCTCCTCCACCTCCAGTACCGACGACCATAGTGTTAGCCCATCCATTAACTGTACAGGAGAGACACGGGAAGATAGAGAGATACACAGAGACAAATAGAGATGCATAGAGACAGAGAGAGACGGGTAGAGACAAATAAAGAGATGCACAGAGACAGAGAGAGAGAGAGTCATGACAGATAGAGAGATGCATAGAAACGTAAGAGACACAGACAGATGGAGAGATGCATAGAGATAGAGAGAGAGATACACAGAGACGGAGGGAGACAGACACACAGATGAAGAGAGACAGGCAGTAAAAGAGACAGACATGAATAGACAGAAAAAAAAGACAGACACAGAAAGATAAAGGGCAATCAGAAAAAAACCTAAGACAGATATAGAGAAAAATAAATACAGAGAGACGTAGAAACAGATATAAATTGACAGAGTTGCATAGAAATAGACAGACAGACAGACACTGGCAGAGAGGGAGACAGACAGAGAAACAGAGATATAGATAGACAGAGATACCAAACAGACAGATCAAGCGAGAAAAAACTAACAAAGTGAAATATGGAAAAAAAAAATAACAATTGCAGAAAATAAACGGAGAAATTCATAGCCACAATAAGTACCTGTAGAAATGAGAACAGACAGACAGACAGACAGACAGAAGAAGGATAGAGGAATAGCAATAATGAATAAAAATGGACATAGGAGAATGGAAATGCAAGTGATGGATAGTCAGGTTGATGGATGTGTTAATGAAGGGATAGAGAAAATAGAAAATTAAATGGGGAGATAGATAAGAGGGAGAGAGAGAGAGAGAGAGAGAGAGAGAGAGAGAGAGAGAGAGAGAGAGAGAGAGAGAGAGAGAGAGAGAGAGAGAGAGAGAGAGAGAGAGAGAGAGAGAGAGAAATGCCCATTCACCCACCAAGCAATCCATTCATCCACCCACCCACTTACTCACCTGTGGATGCTGGATGATGTAGCTACCACCCGTCTCTAAGCGGATGCCCTCAGGAGTAGACCAAATAAAAGAGGGATCAGGGGCGGCCCTCACACGACACACCAGATGCCCACTGCCACCCACAGACGCCCACGATCCCTTCCTACCAACCACGTCTTCCTCCGCCTCCCTCGCCGGCTCTACCAGATAAAAACAAACAAGAATTATTGTTAATAAAGGGAAAAATAATAATAATAATAAAAACAATAGTAAGGGAAGAAAATTATATAATAGATCTCGTAAGAATATTGTTCTCTAAATGTACTAATTGGAATCATAAGTTTAGTTACTACTTGATCGTGTTCCTCCTCCTCACGGTGGCACCAAATAAGGATGGCATATCAAAATCTGTTACTACTACTACTACTACTACTACTTCTAATACTACCACTTCTACGACGACGACTGCTATTACGACTACTTTTTTTTATGAATATGGCCTCCAACCTCCCCTGATAGCCAAATATCCACATATTTTATTACTTAACTATCCTATAACTACTACTATAGCTACTACTACTACTACTACTACTACAACAACAACCACAGCTACTATTACTACTACTATTAACATCAGAGTGAGGAAATATATGTCCCTGTACTCACGCATGACGATGAACTTAGTCCTGGCGGGAGTGGCAGTGGTGACGACGTTGGAGGCGTGGCAATAGTACATGCCCGTGTCTGACGATGATGCTGACTCCACCACAAGGTAAGCGACGCCCACACCCGAGCCCAGCGACTGTCCAGTG